TTCAAGCTCATTTGCACATTATTTTCAAAAAATAAATTTCTTGTCTCCTCTTCTGTTCGCAATAAATCGAAGTTTTCAGAAATTCAGAGCACTATTTTTCACTCGCGGCAGTTATGCGTCGGTCATGGTCGGGTGATCACTATGAATTCAGCTTCGCTTGATATGTTAGAATACAATATAGCATGTAGAGTGGCGATGAAACGTCACAGCAGTGGGCGTTACCCTGTATGGTTGGAAATTTCGGGTATGTAAGTGCACTAGTTGGGACTTCGTCCTTTAATCTAATGACATAATGCCGGTCTAAAAAGGAGCAACTATTTTTTGCTGAAATCAGCTCTTAGCAAGATTTTCTTTAAATAAATAAGACATAAAAATGCAAGTGTGCAGAGACAACAAATGTTGAAGGACGGTCGCACGGGCAATATAAAATCACAAACTCACACTTGCCACTAAGATTAAAAACACCAGGCTAGCTTAAAATGAAAACTGTGTATGTTTGAGCCTTATCATTGAGGGTAGCGGTACGTGGAAGGTACCACACTCCGATTTGGTAATCAGAACTTGCACTTAAATTATGAAAACAAGAGCGATCACTGAACACGTGCGTTGCCTCATGATAGACAATGGCATGTTGCAGCTACTGTGTAGCAGGTGACACAAAAACAGTGAAAAATGCGTTTTTATTCAAGGACCATAACTCGTCAAACCCATTCAAGCGGAGAACATGTGTTATATGCGCAACTTCTTGAGCTACTAAATTATGTAGAGTTCCTTTGAAATTGCAAAGGGGTAAAAGAGATATAGCCCGGCCAAATTCTAAAAACATTAAAGGGTGATAACTCTGACAAAAAACAATGAACCTCATAAGGTATAATCATCCTAACGCTAACATTTAAAACATACATTTTGTCATAACATGATATATCAATATTGTATAAGACATAAGATTATGCAATATCAATTGATCAGTTTCCATTATGGCCGCCCTCTGTCAATGCTCTTTACAAATATCTCAATAAAAAAAACAAGAAAATATGATTGCTTTTTGGTTTTTATTATCAGTTTTAATGTAAGTCCTATAAATAATGAAGTAAAAATGCAATTGTACCACACAAGAGTAATAAATTATCAAACAAATATGTACACGCTCTATATTCAATGTTCGCAATGTAAGGACTTCAAAAAAATGATTTTTCGGAACTTATTTTGAAGCGCCGTAACACATCAAAATTTTCCTCAATACTTTTTTGACAAAATTAATTGAGAAAAAAGAAACGTTAAAGTCTAAATATCAGTAAATTAAATGATAACTTTAATCACTATGAAAACTGGCAAACTGGATCTGCCAAAATGCGTCAGTGTACAGCACAGTAGCTATATTAACAATAAAAATCTACTTAAATTCTAATTCAGAAAGGTGTATTATGAACACAATTTATCAAAATATTTGGGAAAAAAACATTTTGAGATGTTTTGCACCATATTTATTGTTTTGAAGTAATTATCAATTTTTTAAACTGAGAAAAATTACATTTCCCGAAAGTCGAATTATTATTTTATAATATTACATAACAAAAATCTCTTATTGATTAAAATATATCCAATTTAGAATTTAACAACATTTTTTATAATTACAAAACAAATCACCCAAGAGAGAAACTTATTAACTCAGCCCTTAATCAACCTGGTATAGGTCAACTCTGTCCACTATCAAAATAGCTTTCGAAATGTTTATTTTATCTTCTTTTTCAAATTGACTGTTACTTTGTGCCAAAATACATGTATTTATATACAAATATTTGTTCAATTTACCAGCTATTACATCTAAAAATGTACAAAATTTATAAAAGAAAACATAACTATAGTTCCTACACATCGTGAATTTTTCATATACCTTGATGAATGAAAAAGAAAAAAGATAAAATAAGTCTTATTTTTCGCACCTTAAAAATATTACCAATCTCAGCCTTTGAACCACTTTACCTTCCAATAGAAATCATTGGATCCATTCTAATCTATTTAGTCTGACTTCAAAACATTGATGTTAAATGCATATCATACCACATATAGCTTTGTTTTCATTTACAAAGTCCAAAACATCTATATCAAATGCATATCATACCCCATATATCATTGTTTTCATTTACAGAGTTCAAAACATCTTAATTAAATGCATATCATACCCCATAAAGCATTGTTTTCATTTACAATATCCAAAACATCTATATTAAAAGCACTTTCTACTCCATTTAGCCTCATTTCAATTTTTATAATCAAAAATTAAATTTATTCCTTCTTGCACTTGAAGTAACAAAGTTTTGACAAAATGTCAAAAAATGTGAAATAATGAGGTTATTTAACATTTTGTTGAGAACAATACTGATTCTGGTACACAGTAACACAGCTGAAAAATGCTAGCGCCCCATTCAAATTGGTTTGATAGCTGTGTACATTGTCAAACAGAACCAGTTTTGTACCCGACTATGCATTATTACCAGTATTTAAGATATGAACCAAGCTATTCTGGGGTCTGGGTAAGTTTTATGGCCGAAATTCATTCGATATTTGTAAAATGGCTCTCTAATATTGGGACAATTGTTTCAAGGGTTTTTTAACGTTTGTCATCATGGATTGCCCTTAACTATTTTTCATTTGAAAAACATTGTAGAGTCCATATTCTCCATGTCGCTCATATATAGTCTTTAGGTGAAAATAATTTAGTCCAGAACTAGCAATATTCTCTGCGTGCCACATTTTTATTGTTCAATCACTTATTAGAGAAAGCAAAGCTGGATGTTTTTATTGGGTATTCGAATTGTCAAAATTATGTCTTCAGGAGGAAAGTTTTTCAGCAGAATCATTGTGTATAGCATGACTAATACTTTACACTATCTTCTGCATTATAAGCATTACATTTTATACGAGTATATTCCTGGCAAGGTCCTCTTGTTTATAACTTTTTTTGTTTTTTGATGACACTTTTAAACAATGGTAATGAATCAGAAAGACCTGGAACAACTGACGCATACTCATCAATAAGCGCACAGTTGGTAAGGGCTAGAGAAAGCACAATGAAATCAAACCTACGCCCATTATGGGCCCCTAATACCTCATTTGTAAAGGATTTTTAACCATTTAATTAAAATAGAGCTTGATTGATTCCAACATTTTCTACTAGAAAACCGTTTACAACCATGTCTGAATTATTTCGCATGCAGATTTTTGCTACCCTCTCAGCTGATGGTGAAATTGGGATCTTTGGTACCACAGACTTATTAAACTTCAACCCTGATCCCATGTCGTGTCCAGCTATTTGGATCAAATGTGGTAGTTGATCTCCTCTGACTGAAAAATCACAAAGAATAAATGACTCGAGGTTTAAATGAAGTTTACCTTTCATAAAATGTTACATTTTATTTCACAAATATATGCCATACGTTATGGAAAAAATAAGATACGAGATCTGGAAATCTTGCTATTGTTAACAGTTCTGACAATTGAACAAGTACAACGCAATATAAAAATGCTACATCACAAAAAAGTCACAAACCTCAAAAAATGCGATAAAGTTTTTTCTAGCATTTCTCAATATATAATATTTTTAAACAGACTTGGCAATCTAGTGCATTTATACATGAGATATGGACAGAAAAATAGAACAAAATGTTAACACACTATAGCACGTTTATATGATTATTTCATAAACTATCCCACTCAATGTGACTTACATATTTCATAATTTTTATTGAAATGTAAGAATAGGAAAAGGTATCAATTTTTCCTGCATGTTTGTATTTAAAATTGAAAAACATGCATTACTTTAGAGCAATGCATTTAGAACTGATCTCTTGAAATGCCTTAAACAAGGAGTTGAAAAGGTGCTTGCATAATATCTCATTAACCGACAGACACACAAAACAAATACTACATACAATGTGAAAAGAAATCAGTAACTTACCAGCCTAATATAAGAGTCGCCTTCTAGAGATTCCTCAGTCATTTGATTTACAAAGCGTTCTTGTTTCAGAATAATTCGTTTTGTGGATGGTAAGTTGATGACTTCTCGGGCATGCTTCCGAGCATGTTCAAACTTCTCTGCATGTTTAACGGTGTAAACTCCCGGTGAGAGACCACCTTCAGTATTCAACTGAGTCAAAGCAGTATTGTAACTTACATTAAAGTCCAAATACATGTATTACAACTGCATATGAATGCAAATATGACCAACTAACTTACAAGCTAGGTGTCTAATTAATTATAAAATAATTTATTTGAAAAGATCTCTAAATATCATCAAGTACAGTATTAACAATATATATGTTTCGAGGGAACTACATGTGCTCATGAAAATATTGCCATTGTTTTTACTTTTCAATTTATTCACAAACAAAAATCTTTGAAAAGGAAACAAATTTGTTTATCTAACCTATGCCTATAATAATCAAATAGTAACTTTAAACTGTTTGCAACAATATTTATAGTAATTATTGATGTAAGGAAAATATGTGATATAAAATGAGACAATTATCTAATCTTTATAAAATCAATTTAGTCACATATAAAGCAATTACTTCAAAATGTCTTAGGCTACTGTTAAGAACAGTTTATCAACAATGCAACATCAGCAACAACTGTAAAATAATAAAATTGAAACACATAACATTGGTAGCTATATGAAACTTACAACAGAAAAAAAAAATTCAACTATCTATGAACAAATCTTAAATAATCATAAAGAAAAGCAACGGTAACGGTTTAAATTTTTGAACAATAAATCATAAAAGAAGAAAAGCTACAACTTTTATTTTGTATTCATCTAACTATATCTTTGTAATGCAATGACGTCCTTCATTTACGAAGTTGAAGTAGCATGAAAACGAAAATCCAATGCTTCAGTTACACCATAATTTATGTTCGTGTGGGCTCTTAGTGTCACGTCACGATTTGCATGTTCACACTGCTGACTGCTGCCCAAGTCAATCAGCTGACCAACTCTGGCGGATAATGTCGAAATCCGGCGGAAAACTAAGAGATCGACAGCGGCGACTTAAGATGATCATACCTTAAAGTGGATGATATGCACAACTAGACATGGTGTTCATCATTACTTTCAGTTTTGATGAAATTGCACCAGCAGTGTCTGACGAGAAGTCAAGGCAAGCTTCTTTGTAGCTGGCAACACGAAAAGACACTTTTTTATTCAAGAACCATACCTCGAGTTAAAATCGTTCAAGCAGAAAACTGACTTGTTATGTGTATTATGCACAAGTAATTGAGATACCAGTCATTCCTGTAAAGTTTCATTGAAATTGCATATTAAGTGGTATAAGAGGAATAGTCCGGGGAATCTTGGAACTGAACATTCCTGTAAAATTTGGATGAAATTACACCAGTAACTTCTAAAAAGTAGTCCGAACAAGTTTCTTTGTATACGTAACTTGCAGCACACGCAAAACACCTTTTTAATTCAGGCCATAACTCGGCTAAAAATCATTCAATGGTAAAATCCGTTTCATATGCACAAGTACTTGAAATGCAGATAAATTTGGTAGAGTTTTATTGCAACTGCATTATTAGCATGAGAGGAGCAGTTCGGACAATTGAAAAAAAAAAAAACACAATAGGTTCATAACTCTGACAAAACTATTGGACCAAAAATGCCGACGATATGCACAACTTAATTTTGTTCTGATTATTCCTGAAAAGTTTGGATGACATTGTACAAGTAGTTTAGTTTTTGGGGAATAGTCCGGACAAGTTTTGTTACTGACGTATATCATCTTCGGACAAATGGCAGTTAAATTTAATTTAAAATGGACACACTACAATGAACACTCAAAGATAATACATTCTACTGTTCCGTGGTATACATATTTTCCACATGACATACCTCCTTGTGTCAGTTGAAGGAACATAAGCTGAATTATTATCCATCGCTTGTTTGTTTTTAGCAAAGAATAGCCTTTGCATGTGCAGGGAGGTTACCGTTTGAGTAGATTTCGCAAAGAGGGTACCGATATGGATATGCACCGTGTGTTTATTACGAGTTTTTGAACGGCCTTGGTCACTTGACTATACTTATACGCAACTCTTTTTTAATTTTAACTTTATAAATGATTTTCATTTCAAATTTGTAAATAAAAAGTTAAGAGGGTAGGTAATTAGGTTAATATTTAGGTCATTAAATATCGGATTAGAGTTTCAAACCTGAATCTGGACACAAAGTCAAAATGTCATAGCTTCATGTAAGAAGCTAAAGTAGGCCACTTCTTCAAAATCTATGTCAGCTGATATCACAAAATTCATTTTTTCATCTAAATGTGTGAACATGGTCCAAAATTCATAGTTGTACATCACATGACAAAAAGTACGCACATTTGTCTTAATCTAGGTCAGCTAATATCAAAATCTCTTGTCACCTCTAAATCTCTGCACATGGTCTAAATTTCATAGCTGTCATCAAAGGCCAAGAAGATAGGTACCGTTATAAAATAATCTTACATTTTACAGAAAAAAATGTGCATATGGTCTTAATTCCAATTTGAAAGCTCTTCAACAAATGATAAAAATAGGTCACCTTGACAAAATCTAGGTCAGCTGATATCAATGTGTTCAACATTTCATAACCATAAGCCATAACAAGAGATTCATAACTTTAACAATGACGGCCAAGGTCAGATCTTAATTAAGTGTGTTTGGTCGCAAGGCTTGTTTTGGCAAAGTACATACATAACAAAATTATAGCAATTTTAGAACGGTCAAGGTTTTATGAACGTCAATGTTAGATCAACATTTTAGATGGTCTTGTCGATAAATTGTTTTATCCAAGGATGAAGATTACTTAATTACGAAGGTCCAGTCAATTGAAACAGAAAAGGTGAACATTCAAAAATATTTAACCTTGAAGGTCATAAATGGACCGAGGTCAATCTTAGTTTGATGTATTCGATAGTCGTATACTAGTTATATTGTATCTAAATTTGAAGTCAATCCATTCATTAAAAATAAAGTTATAGAAAGTAAGAACAAAAACTAAATCAATCATTTGACTTACAAAGTGAAAGTCATTTATGAGTAAAGTCTGTCTGGGTAACTGGAAGGTCTACCTTAAAAGATTGCCTACAAAATATAAGCAAGGCTTAGTTTGAAGACTTTACACCAAGAAATAAAAAAGAAAAGCTATGATCAATGTTAAATTTTGACGACGGCAACGGCAGCGCGGGAGGCATACATTACTATAACAATAACTCTCTTTTTCTTCCTCGAAAACAGTCGAGCTAAAAATGGTTGGTTGTCTCCTTGGCATGTGGTGTAAGGACAATTTTTAATTAAATCTGTTTTGTATATTGACTAATACATTTTATATATGTTGGAGGTGAATACGTTGAAGGACCGAAATAAAAAATAACAGTGAAACCAGTGAAGAATCTAATTTTACCGGAACAGTTGCATTCATATATTAGCACTCCTCGTAGAAGAACACAATGTGACATTTACGTGTCTATCATCTAAGGTTTTGAGTCACAAATATGTAACTGCGTTTTCATATTTAAGTATTTGTAAGTGAATCGTAGGGCGAAGCCAATATTACGTTTAAGGGCTGGAGTGACATGAAATTCGTCGATTATGCTATAAACTAGTGATGCTTACTCTGGACAATGTAGTTTCTGGAGTGACTTCAATAGCACATTTCTCAGCACATTGTTTTGCTTTTATAACAATTCAAGAAAATGTCAGGCTTTTTTTGGGAAAGAAATGACAAATTATGTTTGTAAAACGCAGCAAAATAAACATGTTTATTACTTCATATACGATTTGTGTTCAGATTTGCATCGTTCTTGTCTCAGATTCGATATATCATGTTATTTTCCCGTACGGAAAATTTCGCGATTATTGCAGGAATCTAATTTTAGGGAATCTCATTTTAGCAATTTTGTTATACATCTTTTTAATTGTTTTTATGCTGGCAAAGAGAGGCGACTCTTTTTGTCAGAGATTTATTTTTTCACAGGTAAACATTTGTTTTCAATTTTCCTATTGATATATCACTTAAAAATATGTGTTCGGTCTCGTCTCAACTTATTGTACATAAAAAAAAAAAAAAATATGTTATTGTTGAGTTGAATTTGTTTGTATACCTACTTGCAATGTAAAATAATCTTATAATATAAGACAATCAGTTTAATAAGCATCAACAAGAATACCTGTTTGCTCAATGTGTCACTTAAGTAATGTAAGAACATGCGAATAAACTGGTCAGCAAATCCAAATTAAAACAAAAAATGAAGTTCCATTATCTCGCAAAATCCCCGTATAATGTTTCTTTAATAAGGATTAATGTCATTGTGAAAATTGTTAAAATGAAATTTTGAAGTCTGTTCTTTTGTTTATTACCCCTTAAAATAAAAAAACTGTGTTATTGTTTAACAGAGCTGGATAAATGCAATAAAACTACAAATATAATTTGTTCGGAAGGTACAAAGTGATTCCTGTGGACCTCTACGCCCTCACACATACAAACACACTTCTACAAACAACTATGTTGGTAGGAAGCATGTATGCATATCAATTCTTTAAAAAGGCTTTAGTGAATTTTCTTTTAAATCATTGAGTTTACCTTGTACAATTATCTCCCTTGTACCACTTTGGTCAAGTATTCCTGATAGGTTTGATATTCCATTGTTTAATGTACACGTGTATGTCCCTGTATCGTCAAGTCGGAGCGATTTAAAGTAAAGAGAGCTATACTTCTCTGTATGATCTACAACTGTATTGTTATTTGGTATGGCAACATTGTTCCAGCTTTGAAATAAACTTGTGTAGATGTAACTAGATGGTACACCATGGCCGTTACAGTATAATGAAAGACTTTCTCCTTCTTTGACACTTGTCGTTGACAGACTGATATTTACATCAGGGGCATCTGTATTAAAGAAAGTAAAGAATATCTTAAAAATGTATGGTTTACAGTTGTAATGTGTTTTCGAATACATGATAGTCCAAATCAGATACACTTCTACGTGTAATGTGATATGACTTGTTGTCGGCAAAACTAAAATAGCGTAAATCCATTCAGCAGTGAGATCGGAAATAAAAGGCTGGACAAATTCGCTATACTAAAATTCACTACATAACATTTCGCCAAAACATAACAACCTCATATGATTTACATCGGGTAGATAAGTTTTCGTAGATTTTATAATCATAGATATTTGTGATAATAGTGATTATTTGTCTATATAATGAATATGGAAATTATAAAGAAAAAAATTCAAGAATAAGTTTTATTCAATTATAGTTTTTAGAGTGCAAATAAGAAATATATTTTGCACTGCTTACATTGCATAGTACTGTGCCACTATGATAATGTGAAAGTGACGTTGCATTTTTTGTGTACACAAAGGTTAACAACCTTTATCTGATTTGGTAAAACAGTGATTTTAGATTATAATACAAGATAAGAAATAGAGTTTGAAATGTCTCGATGGCAAAGTTGGTAAAGTCAATGAGATGCTGTGCGACTTAAATTTTATCATGTGTTCGAGCCTTACAAATTGTCTGATCTTTTTTCTTTCTTTCTTTCCCTACTTTTTAGATTTTACATTAGATGCGATTGAAGTGGAATATAAAGGTGGTTTTGTTTTAATATCTTATAATTTAAATATACCAGTAATAATGATTTTTTATCCTATGTAGTATGTTGAAGTCATAGAACATGTACATTGCACGAGTATTTTATGCAAACTTAACTATACTTGAAACGACTTTTGTACGTGTATGCATTCTGTTTAGTATTCAATATAATGTTGAATCAACTAGCTAGATATGGCTACAATGAAAACAAGCGCACCGCTAGGCGGAGCATTATATGCCCGAAAGTGTTGTTTTTTTTAGTAAGGATGAAGCATTTGTAAGACATGGGAATTCGCTGTTAATCCTATAAAATTTTACAGCTGTAGGTTGATTAATACTTAAGTTATTAATAATGACCGTAACCTTTGACCTTGTGATCCCAAAATCAATAGGGGTATTCTACCTTATATGGACAATCATCCTAAGAAGTTTGAATATTGTGGGCCAATTGGAACTTTAATTATGCTCTAGAAACTGTTTTCAGTATTAAGGTAAAAGTGACTTTGACCTTGTGACCCCAAAATCAATAGGGGTCTTCTACCAAATATGGACAATCATCCTATGAAGTTGGAATATTGTGGGCCAAATGGAACTTACGTTATGCTCCGGAAACTGTTTTTGGTTTAAGGTAATAGTGACCTTGACCTTTGACCTAGTGACCCCAAAATTAATACGGGTCTTTTGCCCAATATGGACAATCATCCTATGAAGTTTGAATATTGTGGGCCAAATGGAACATAAGTTATGCTCCAGAAACTGTTTTCAGTTTTAAGGATATAGTGACCTTGACCCTTGATCTCTTGACCCCAAAATCAATAGGGGTCTTCTACCCAATATTGACAATCACCCTATGAAGTTTGAACACGGTGGGCCAAATGGAACTAAAGTTATGCTCCGGAAACTGTTTTCAGTATCAAGGTAATAGTGACTTTGACCTTGTGACCACAAAATCAATAGGGTCTTCTACCCAATATGGACAATCATCCTATGAAGTTTGAACATTGTTGGTCAATTGGAACATAAGTTATGCTCCGGAAACTGTTTTCAGTATCAAGGTAATAGTGACCTTGACCTTTGACCTTTTGACCCCAAGATCAATAGGGGTCTTGTACCCAATATGGACAATCATCCTATGAAGTTTGAACATTGTGGGTCAATTGGAACTTAAGTTAAGCTCCGGAAACTGTTTTCAGTATCAAGGTCATAGTGACCTTGACCTTTGACCTTGTGACCCCAAAATCAATAGGGGTCTTCTACCTAATATGGACAATTATCATATGAAGTTTGAACATTGTGGGTCGAATGGAACTTAAGTTATGCTCCGGAAACTGTTTTCAGTTTTAAGGTCATAGTGACCTTGACCTTTGACCTTTTGACCCCAAAATCAATAGGGGTCTTCTACCCAATATGGACAATCATCATATGAAGTTTGAACAATGTGGGCAAAATGAAACTTAAGTTATGCTCCGGAAACCAAATTGCTAACGGACGGACGGACAGACAGACAGACGGACGCCAGGGGGTATAACATAATATGCCCTTTCGGGCATATAACAAAGATAAAATGAAATGATAATTTAATAGAAAATAACAAAACTCTTAACTTTATAAGAAACAAAAACAAGTTATAGTTAAATAACTTAAGAGACCTGTTGAAACGCTTTGCATACTATGGCAATTTTACACCTTAAAACATAGTATGTGTGGTTTCACAATTTACTTCTTTCTTGATTTATGCTAAATGCTTTTTATATACGAGATGCAGTGGTGGGGGTAGAACAAATGCTTAATATTATATTGATCATGCTGTTTGCCATCTTCATATTTGTTTGTATTATCAGTTATGTCTTAACGCATCAAATGCATATATTGACAAACATTTCCATCAGCGCGTGTCTAATACATTGTTTAAGAAATAATATATCTCAAACAGTGATTTTATCGCTCAATAACATCACTGTTTGGAGTTCGGATGCGAGGAATTATATCACGAGGGCGTAGCCCGAGTGATATTATGATGCGCATCCGAACGACAAACAGTGATGTTATCAAGCGATAAAATCACCGATTTGAATATATTATTTCGATTCTAACACGACATCAACAAATAAATGCTGTCGTATCTGATATTATGAAAAATTGCGCCTGATTTGTTTCCGTACATATTTTAAGCGCGTCAGATTCTTTTAGTGATTACGTCACATGTATAATGATTACGTCACATATCTAAAACTGTGACTCTGTTGCATAATAACACACACTTTCGGTTCTTCTATATTCAATAGTGAAAAATGCGGGTCGTGTTAGAATATCATTTATAACACATCGCAACTTTCTATAAAGGTTGTAAGACGACTTTTAGACGACTATTTTAATTTATAAAAACTTATGGTGCCCTGCATTGCGTACATCTGAGTAGAACCACTAACCATATATACCAAACTTATTAAAAGATAGAAATTATGTTTAGTGAACGAGAGTTAAAGTCATGATTTTTATGGCATGAACGTGTTATTTTAACTCAGATGGAGACGCAAATATCATGCAAAATTTCACATTTTAAACACTTTTACTGTTTTGCATTGTCCTGTTATCATCTATTTTGTTTAATTGAAGAAAAGCAACGAAAATATCAAAACTAAATTGTTCAGACTCGTGTTAGAACAAAACCCTTTGAATAAGATCAGTCACTTATTCTAGCGAATATCATTTGGGGCTTTTCAACCTGCATCTTGTCATACGAGAGATATTGAAAGTTCTCTCGTCAGCAAAGAGTATATATCATCTTGCATTGCCATCGTTTTAATAAGATAAGACCATCCGTGTGCTAATTATATCGAGGCTATACATTGTTTTTTGTGCATAAGATATTAACAAAATCAAACATTTTTTCTTAATTAAATCACATTTCTTCAATGAAACTTTGGAATAAAAATGTCTTTCCCCAACTAGGAGCCTCAAACTATAAGTATTTTCCCAATAGACCAAGTTGACGCAGACGAACACCTGATCATCACTTATTTTATATTATTACCCCTCACTTTTTTCGTAATGCTAATTTCCCATAGGCCTCTGGGAGTTATTTTTACTGTTAATGCAAGTGTACCACGTGACAAAAAATTTTGTACTGTTACATAGGTAACAGTATTTTTAACAGTATAAAATCTGGTCACGTGGTCTATTTTCTAAATAAAATGAAATAAAATGGCCGCCATTTTTTTCTCGATTCATTCTTATTTTCGTCGTTAAACCCCGATAGGACATCAATTTCTTCTATGAAGTATCTATGACATCCATAAAATTTAGTAGTTCGCACCCTGGTGTGCTTTTCGTGTATAAAATATATTTTTGTTGAATAGTCAAAAAATGAACATCCGTTTTCAACGGAAGAACTTGCAATGTAAATAATTAATTGTCAAACTTGAACATGCAGACGATTTAAGCATGCAACAAAGGATTATTTAACAATTTTAAACAGTGAAACGTTACAGAGATGGTGGTCAGACATAGGATATCATCGTTATTTTGTCAAAAACAATGCTAAGAACATTCTGGAAACAGAAGGATCAGATTTCACAGATCATAACCGTGTAAATGGGTTACTGTTTTGTTTTCTAAATAAAACCTAGCTTATTGTATGTTTATGATTTGTAGATATCATCACTTGCATAAAGAATAAAAGAAAAAGAAAACTTCTCAAGTAGGCCTAAAGTACACTTAAAACTTGAAAGGTAAGGACAGTTTAGTTATCATTGTTACTCTTGGTTTATTTTTGTAACGCCTCGGGTAACAGTATTTTCCTTGGGATGATATTTTTACTGTTACCCACAAACCCATGTGTTATTTATATACTGTTATATCACGCTGAGCATTATGTTATTATAAGCAAAAAGTTTTTTTTTTTTAAATGTCAAAATCAAATATTTTAAATTGTTTGATCGATAAATTGAAAAAAATATTGTTTGCGTTGACGTGTGACGTGTTGTCCGTCAACGCAAGACAATCATTCGCATAAGCCATCCCTTCACGAATCGCAACCATTTTGTATGCGTCCACCTATGTAGTCGTTGTATTGCATGCAAAAACTGATTTTTTGAACTTGAATGCAGATTGAACCACGGCGAACTTGAGATGTTTTATGAAACAGTATGTGACTGCGAATGCTTAAGTTAGGTAATAACAGCTGGGTAAGAAATGGGACTTTAAATAATTTCAAAAGTATATGTTCTAAGATACAACATGAGCCTTGATTGTAAATGGCATTTGTTTAAAAATTACTTTCCTTTAACACATTTGTATTTGTAAAATAGTAAATTTCGACAGTGATGTTTACCAACTTTATATATTAGATCACTCATTATTTAAGATTCAATTTACGTAGAACTTTGGTTTTTCACAAATTAAGTTCAGCTGGAAGAAATTATTCAACTAAACAAATCAACATCCTTGAATTCGAAGCCCAGTTTTAAATATGTTTTTAAAAGCCCTGGACGTAAAAAGCCCTATTTAATCAGGAATTAGTAATAAAACAAAAGCTTACATTGAACAATGATTTTTATAGTTGCCTCTGCAGATTTTGGGAACTGTGATGTTGCTGTATTGGTACTAATGCATTTGTAATCGCAGGCATTCTCTCTTAACACAGTGTTTAGTTGAAGTACACGTTCAGAAGTTATAGCAGAGGATCTATTTGTCCATTTATAAGAACAACCTGGATAGCATTCTGAAAGACATTCGATTTTTTCATTTGTATCCCCTTCTGTTATAATATGTGGTGATGTTTTGCTGAGAACAGCTGAATCAGGTCCATCTGAAAAATGTTATCAATAATATGACATTGATAATTTTTGAAATCAGTCACTTTTCCTATGTTTACTGAAACAGCTCCATCTGAAAAATATTGATCATTATTTAATTTTACCCATAAAATATGGTGCTATATCAGTCAAATATATATCATATTTGTAAAAAAGAATACGAAAGTGGGCGAAGTCAAAACTCATATTTATTTTAAGGGACTACTTTCGCCATTTTGTTTTAAAAGTCTGATAAATAAAAAAACAACTGTTTGTTGAATTTTATTTTTAAAACTATCTAGAATGATAAAAAATGGTCTAACTAAGAAAATGTATCCGAACACCAATATCTTTAATTCAGTCATTAACGCTGTACAGACGTTTAAAGATTTGTTTTCGTGATGTCACAATGAAGCGCCAAACAGCGTGTGCAAATACAGGAAAAACAAGACGCATCTATCAATAATCAATATATATCTCCGCGCTGTACAATTGCAGTTGGGATTCGTAACCATTTTTCTTTGATAGTGGAATTAAATAAAAAGGTTATTTTTTTCGTTTTTCGTTATATATGCTATATATTTTCACTCAACATGATAAAGTGCCACATATTTTATCATGTTTTGTGAAAATATATAGCATATTTTACTCAAACGAAAAAAAATATCCTCTTATTATTTAACAAAGAACAACTTTTTGATATTTCCTTTCTATACAAAAAAGGTTATTATTAGTGTTATTATATTCAGATGCTGAAATTAAGGAGTCACGCAATGACTCATTTCCAATAACTGTAACTCTGGAAAATAAGTCTATGGAGGTATCTTGTTTGGGCTTTTTGGTTCTTAATTGACTTGAAGATAATAGTTTTTACTTTAAAAAGAGTGTTTGAACATTTTATTTTGAGACAGTAGACAATTTGTTTGTGATTTCTTTCGGAGGTCATGCGATTAAGGTTCACCAGGACTGTTAAAATACTTTATATGAAGAAAGTATCATGTGTGTGAAGCAGTTGGAGTGGTTGGCAATGTATATAAACACAAATTGTAAAATAAAGAACTACGAATCCCTAAAGAACGACAAAAATATTATAAATGCTGTTTCAATAATATTATGTATAGAATTCAACATATAACCCTGGCATTTAATGTGATACCTTGTTTTACATGAATCACACCAAAGCTCTTATGATTTCAAAGCGACATTTTTACCAAAGAAGAAACAATTCCATCTAGGTGATTTAAGTCCCGGATGAGATTCCTTTTTTTAATCAACACGCAAGTGTTGTTATTAGAATATCAACTCTCGGTTAAAGAATGCAAAATGTATGCCCACAAAATTTTCAAGGGCCATGGCTTTTCAATTTTGCCTTTGTTGAAGACATGGATGAACTATCGAGTTCTTAAAATATCTATTTCATCTTAAATTGTTAAGATAACCTACTATTTAACCAGAAAATTATGTTTATACAACATATAAGATTAAATTTTCTCAGGATCAATTGTATACCTGATAGTTCAACTTTCATGGACACAATAACGGATACATTTAAAGAATAACATAACTCAAGGATTGCCATTGACATCACTATGTAGTTATAAATCCAATTCTATTTGTTATTAAAATGATATGCATAACATTTATACTGCCATCAGTCCATATTTAAAGTTAAAATGTTTTGAGTATATCTTCAGTTATCACAGATCCTACTCTTTCAAAAGGTCAGACAGACAGATGGCAAATCTGAAGCTCCGACAGGGCAAACTAGAAATCCACATAATGAGGTTTGTCAAGTGTCCAGTTTCACTAAAGCTAGAAATACATCCATAGGATACGGATACGGATGCATCCACACTCACTCCGCTTCCTTGTCAGTCTACTGACGTACAACAGGACAGTATGACAGTGAGAAAGACAAAGGAAAATCTACATTTATCCCTCTACCTTCAAGTGGTAATGGCATAAAAAAACGACATCAAACTTGTCGATGGTGACATCTTGATTTTGTCCAATATTAAAAATTACAAATTTCATTTTCAAGTACGCTTAAAATACATTAAAAATAAAAGTAAAACGCGGACGCACAACAACAAATCAACGAACAACGATTGCATGTCTCTATGTCCAATACGTTTTAAGTTAAGCAAGACTCAAGCTTAATATTGCAAATCTTTTCATAAGTCAATTAAGGCAATATTTCTCAAAATCCTAAAGCGAACACCCAGGTGTATACCTTAATATCAATATTCCTGTAAAGTTTCATGACTACAGGTCAAACACCTTTTTGGACAAGTTGAAAAATGACAATTTATATTTAGTCAAGGGCTATCACTCTAACAAACTGAATTAATACACACGCAAAGTCTCATGTGCACATCGTCACGATTTGGTCAACATTCCCTGCAAAGATTTTGATTAAGCTAAAGCATTTTAGTGGGACACATGATGTAACATTTTGGAACGGTTTTTCAAAGGAATGCGAAATTACTCCACAAATTCTGAAGTCATATACAAGCAACGCCCAAGGTGCTTACATTTCTTTTAAAATTCCATGAATGTAAGTCAAATAATATGTTGAGTACAAGCAAAACAATGTGAACATTGTAAACTCTAAAGTCAAGTTTAATCCATATAAATTAAGGTGACAACGGAGTCAATTATCACTGAAAATACCTAAAATGAAATGTTTTCTTAGATTTATCAACCTTTTCTGAACTCATTCGTGATTTAATTTTGGAAGCAGTAACATTTAGTTCAAAAGTGAGTTTTTAAACGTTTTAAAATGGTACCTTTACCATTTTTATCTGCCATTTGCGTCACCTGTCAATTATCGATAACGCTCCGCCCTCTGTTGAGGCATCAATAAGGGAAATCGGTAATCCCAAATATCCGTACATATTACTCGTAATACATGTATCGTACAAATACTGTACATCTTTTGAGAATATCTCGACATTTGTCGTATACCTTTTATTTAATAGTTGGCCAAGATGTAACATAAATAATTTAGAATAGCGGCAAATCGCACGACCATGGGTATTGTTAAAATAATATAGCTGCCTATTATATCAATAGTGTGTGAAATCATAATTTGATTGTCCCGTAATCTGATAGACATTAAACTGAATGTGTGGACAATTGTACGGATCCAATAGCTTGCTGTACATTCAACCTCGTTTTCTTACAAAATAAAAGGAAACAGACAACATGTTTTATGTAAACGCCTATAGATATGACAGGTGATGATAAATTTCTAAAATATTTTATGATAATATGCGGACGATATTTTTATGAATCAAAAGGAAAAATCGGAACAAAATGGAAATATAGTTTTAGTGAATGTTTTGAATATGTTTGCCAGTCATTTGTACTAATAAACCTGAGACAAAGTATGACATTTATTGTCCCAGAAGAAACAGAATCGAGATCTATCCCATGCATAGATTAATATTCATGATAATAAAAATCAAGGTCAGATCATATTGATCGAGTGATACCTTTTTTTCTATTAGAATATGTCAGGCATTTATAAGAATTGGTCGGACAAAATATATAATATCCCGTTCTTATTTGTACATCGTACCACGGACTTAAGCTCAGTTATTCAGCTGAATTAATTTATTAATATTTCACGGAATTTCATACACGAATACACAGGCAGCATGACACTGATATAATATAATAATGATGATGATAATAATAAACTTCAAAAGTGAAACAAATAAATTATCCCGCTTGCAGTACGCACGATTCCCCCCCCCCCCCACAGAGTGCCTCAAATGTTACCAATAGTCACGTGATATCTGCGACAGATACCTGACGGACAGTATATTACGTAAGATTTGTAGAATTTTCTGCTATAAAATGATATTAATCAGCAGATTTTAATTGGTCAGATGTCACTGGGTCATAAAAAGTTGTTAGAGTATGTAACCGCATCTTGTGACCCCCTTTGGTGCGATATTTGCGTATTATGCAATGATTTAGCGTAAAATACAGAGGTCTGAGAGAGAACAGCCGATTTATGACACTTCATTTGATGCGGGTCGGACTAATTTTGATTCGACATAACTTTTTTTAATAATCAAGCAATTGACATGCGGTTTAAAGCAAATGAAAGGAATTCATTTACGGAGGGAACCGTATCAGGGACTTTTGTTAGCTCAATCAGTGATTTAATTATCTTCAATTACGTAACATGTATGGTGAAAAAAGTCGCATAAAATGTTTGACGTTACGTAATATATTTTTGAGAAAAACAAAAATAATCTGAAACATGGTCCCCTAGACATTATAATTATGTTTATATTTCAAACATTTGATGACAAAAAATGACTTTGATGTGTCTTGCTTAACTAATTACTTGCAAAGGCATGTTTTTCAAAAATGTTATTTTTTTATGAAGATCACATTTACATTTAATGCACACGATTTAAATAGATAACAAGTATTACTTAAATAAATTCATTTAAATGACATTTATGGGAGTACCACGGAAAGTGTCTGTTGTCACCTGAACACATATTGCCAAAAGTCCAGCCTTTGAAACTTGACAATTCATACTTCGGTTCTACTAAATAGATAAGTAAAAATCAAATTGTCGATCCGAGAGAGAGTTACATACTGCACTTGTGTTAAGCGTTTAGATCATCTCGATTTAACAAATCTAAAATGGAAGCTGGTAACATGCAACTGTATTTAGAAATTTATAACAAACTGTATTTAGAAATGTATAACTTTAAATTTGCGACATGTAGAAATGTAAACGATAGAACGTACATAACAAGTTCTATGCAGTACATCATGACGTTAAGAATGTAACTGCACAAGATAACACTCTCAGGTTGTCAACAGTATAACAGACTATATTTGGTTGTAGATAACCCAAATTTTTGACCAAGTGTATAACCACGGAATAAACAAAGTTTACTATTGATAATTCCGTGGTATAACCAAAATGTGAATTTGTCCCATTTTAATGATAACCAGGTACGTATATTAACGTACCTGTGATAACATAAATATTTAGTGTATCCTTGCATCTCTGTTTACATCAATTGGAAGATATCTTGAGTCATGGGATATGATAATACGGTTGCACAGAAGTGACATTTATGCGTTTTTATTTTTCTCGTTCACACGAGATACTATGCCATGGCAACGAGTTACTAAATGTCGTGGCCACGAGATAATATAGTGGTACGCACGTGATACTATGTCGTGGCCAGGAGTTACAAAGTCGTTGCCGTCAAACAATTAAGTGCTGCGCACGGGATACTATGTGATAGCCACGAGTTACTAAAATACTGACCGTTGCTTGTTATTGCTTCTTTGCTTACCTACAGAACGAGAACTAGCCACTGACGGTAAATACAGAAACTGAGCGGATAAATACGTTTACTTAAAATGATGTGGTGGGCGGGGAAATTGGCGAAGCTTATTTATCTCTTATGCAGATGTGTACAACTTGATTTTGCTGATCTGAAACATGAGGGTTTGGCAATGTAAAGATATAAACGTAACTTCTATTTTATCGGCGTATGCACCAACAAGGAGTATTCAGCGTGTTATGATGAAAACTTGGTAATGCTATTTTCAGAAAACCAGATAATGATTTGTCGTTTAACAAATGTAATTTGTTCAAAACATATGTTTACAATGTTAATTCGGAAAACTCAATCCAAGAATACAACGTTGGAATTGACATACAAAGAAATACGATTGTGTTTTGTCCGTAAACAAACGGTTCGACTCAGATTAACAAAACTGGAATTTTTAGACAACGAATTGCTTCCATAAGCACATTCTTGTTAAGTTTGTTGACTCTAGCTCAAGCGAATTTTATGCTACATTTGACACAACATGAGAACGCAAAAACAAACGCACGCACACGGGAACGGGCGGAAGGATAATGGCAAATCTCAAAAATAACCAACGTTATAAACGGGTCCAAATGTATTGCTATGTCTACTTGTTGTTCTAGTAATTTCATTTTACAACAAAAGAACAAAAGAATGACATGCATTATTTCTTGACTATAATCTTTCCACTTTTCAAGTGTATAAAAACAACCAGATTTTTTCAACATAGGAAGAAAAATTAGTGGACCATCATCATCACTTAATTGCTTTAACCTTGAACTGGTATTATATCGTTCATTCTGCATCTTAAAGGTTGCAAATGCGAACAAGGTTTTCTTCTCACCACATTTGAGCTGTATACCTTCTAACATATTTTCAGGATTGTTGTGCCAAAATTATAGCCCCCTTATTATTAACCTTAACGAATCATTATTTTTTATGTTTTTTTTCTTTTTTTGTTATATTTTGCGAAACCTGACTACTTAGTTTTTGTGCATACCAATCACCGCTAGTATGACTGTACAAACTTAAATTATGGAATTTTACATATACATCTATACATCAAAGTTATGATTTTGTAACAAAAAAGATACAGGAAATGATGATTCATCCACTAATGCTTCATATATTATAAAAAACAAAATATATTAAAGAAATCTTAGAAAAAATCTTTTGTTGAGGATTCGAATTTGCAACTTCGGGATCGCTACGCTATCATAATAAGCACTAGGTCGTTGGGACCTGAATACAGTATTAAGACCTTTCCTTTCTTTTAAAACCAATTATTAAACCGTAATAAATCACGAAATCTAACAAAAAGGCTTCTGGAAATTAATGAGTCTTAGGTCAATATTGCCTAATAATATAAAGCTATTTTCTGTACAAAACATTGGTATTACATGATATCACTGCCCCTTAATGAATAGCGATGAGAAGAGCGCTTATATTCGAATATGCACTTATTTACAAGATTCTAAAATAATTTATATTATGTCTTTATTCTTTCCTTTCTTATTTCCATAACACTCTGAAAATGTAATTGGTTAAGCACAAAAACAGTTTTAAACTTTTGTTAATAACTTATACACTAGCGATTGATGTATCTGAATTTATGCTTAAATAATTCCTCTTTTATTGTTTAAGATATTTACCTGAAAACAAAAGAATACAACATTGTAAGCTTGACAATCTAACTTACTCCAATCATATTAAGTACGAGAAATTTCTAACTGGCGCTGAACATTAATACAGCTAAAGGGACATCAAGGGACATAAACTGAAAGCCTAGTAGTTACAAGAAAATAAGACTGTCTACTTACATCTTACATTGACAATAGTTTGTATTGTTGTTGTTGAAGATGAACTTTTTTCAGGATTTTTTGCTATACAAGTATATATTGCAGCATCTTCACGGTGTAGTTTCCCTATAGATAAAACATTTGTACTACTGACTGTGGTTGTCTGTATTGTCTTTCTCCATGTGTATGTGCAATCAGGATAGCAGTCACCAGAGCAAATGATATCATTTAGACTCTGTCCTTCATTTTTGGTGTAATTTTGTGCTGATGGTGATAATGTAGTTGATGACTGGTACGGTCCATCTTTAAATCAAACAAACATATGAAAAGGTAAATGCAGTTTCCATTTGCATGCCATATCCTTAGCCAAAAAAGCTGAAATTAACCATTTATTTACTAGGAAGCGAAAAGGAAAACGGCAAAAACATTATTGGTTAATATTACGTCAAGTGAAGTGCTCTATGTCACTTAACAAAATAGTTATTATAGTAAATTTCATAATACCTTATTATAAGAACACATACTTATGCGAGCATACGATCGAACCTACACACTTTTTGAAACATTATAAATAGTGTGTATAATTATACTAAATATTTTTAGTGTCATTATATGTATAATGTTGCTGTTTCAACATGTCAATGTAATATACCTATAACAACTTAAAAAAATAAATTATGTACTTTTCAATTGCATTCGTGAAGTTAGCCAGACAGCCGGAACAGCCGGAGCAGCCGGAACATATTTTCGTTTAGTCCGGTTGTTCCGGCTACTCCGGCTAGCCGGAATCCGGTTCTGGCTGAATAGGCTAGCCAGAAATGATACAGTAAAACCTGTGCAAAAGACCATTCATTTATTTCATGATGTAGTTTCAAATTCCTTATCACATCGATATCAGGTTCTTCAGGCTAGCCAGAATAACCGATATCAAGTGTACTTCAGATGAAAAATTCAGATATATTCCTAAAATATGAGCGTCGTCCATGGTGTGTCCGGGTGTCCGCGGGTATAGGTGTGTCCGTCGGGAATACTCTGGTATTTTGCCGACGATGAGCCGAAAATCGTACTATACAGCTCATATCTGGCCAATTCCGGCTGGCCCCTGTGGGGACCAGACTCAATTCCGCAGAACCGCATATGGTGGGATGGTTAGGGGGTCTGGCCGGGTGTCCGCGGGTATAGGTGTGTCCGTCGGGAATACTCTGGTATTTTTGCCGACGTTGAGCCGAAAATCGTACTATACAGCTCATATCTGGCCAATTCCGGCTGGCCCCTGTGGGGACCAGACTCAATTCCGCAGAACGCATATGGTGGGATGGTTAGGGGGTCTGGCCGGGTGTCCGCGGGTATAGGTGTGTCCGTCGGGAATACTCTGGTATTTTGCCGACGATGAGCCGAAAATCGTACTATACAGCTCATATCTGGCCAATTCCGGCTGGCCCCTGTGGGGACCAGACTCAATTCCGCAGAACCGCATATGGTGGGATGGTTAGGGGGTCTGGCCGGGTGTCCGCGGGTATAGGTGTGTCCGTCGGGAATACTCTGGTATTTTGCCGACGATGAGCCGAAAATCGTACTATACAGCTCATATCTGGCCAATTCCGGCTGGCCCCTGTGGGGACCAGACTCAATTCCGCAGAACCGCATATGGTGGGATGGTTAGGGGGTCTGGCCGGGTGTCCGCGGGTATAGGTGTGTCCGTCGGGAATACTCTGGTATTTTGCCGACGTTGAGCCGAAAATCGTACTATACAGCTCATATCTGGCCAATTCCGGCTGGCCCCTGTGGGGACCAGACTCAATTCCGCAGAACCGCATATGGTGGGATGGTTAGGGGGTCTGGCCGGGTGTCCGCGGGTATAGGTGTGTCCGTCGGGAATACTCTGGTATTTTGCCGACGATGAGCCGAAAATCGTACTATACAGCTCATATCTGGCCAATTCCGGCTGGCCCCTGTGGGGACCAGACTCAATTCCGCAGAACCGCATATGGTGGGATGGTTAGGGGGTCTGGCCGGGTGTCCGCGGGTATAGGTGTGTCCGTCGGGAATACTCTGGTATTTTGCCGACGTTGAGCCGAAAATCGTACTATACAGCTCATATCTGGCCAATTCCGGCTGGCCCCTGTGGGGACCAGACTCAATTCCGCAGAACCGCATATGGTGGGATGGTTAGGGGGTCTGGCCGGGTGTCCGCGGGTATAGGTGTGTCCGTCGGGAATACTCTGGTATTTTGCCGACGTTGAGCCGAAAATCGTACTATACAGCTCATATCTGGCCAATTCCGGCTGGCCCCTGTGGGGACCAGACTCAATTCCGCAGAACCGCATATGGTGGGATGGTTAGGGGGTCTGGCCGGGTGTCCGCGGGTATAGGTGTGTCCGTCGGGAATACTCTGGTATTTTGCCGACGTTGAGCCGAAAATCGTACTATAACAGCTCATATCTGGCCAATTCCGGCTGGCCCCTGTGGGGACCAGACTCAATTCCGCAGAACCGCATATGGTGGGATGGTTAGGGGGTCTGGCCGGGTGTCCGCGGGTATAGGTGTGTCCGTCGGGAATACTCTGGTATTTTGCCGACGATGAGCCGAAAATCGTACTATACAGCTCATATCTGGCCAATTCCGGCTGGCCCCTGTGGGGACCAGACTCAATTCCGCAGAACCGCATATGGTGGGATGGTTAGGGGGTCTGGCCGGGTGTCCGCGGGTATAGGTGTGTCCGTCGGGAATACTCTGGTATTTTGCCGACGTTGAGCCGAAAATCGTACTATACAGCTCATATCTGGCCAATTCCGGCTGGCCCCTGTGGGGACCAGACTCAATTCCGCAGAACCGCATATGGTGGGATGGTTAGGGGGTCTGGCCGGGTGTCCGCGGGTATAGGTGTGTCCGTCGGGAATACTCTGGTATTTTGCCGACGTTGAGCCGAAAATCGTACTATACAGCTCATATCTGGCCAATTCCGGCTGGCCCCTGTGGGGACCAGACTCAATTCCGCAGAACCGCATATGGTGGGATGGTTAGGGGGTCTGGCCGGGTGTCCGCGGGTATAGGTGTGTCCGTCGGGAATACTCTGGTATTTTGCCGACGTTGAGCCGAAAATCGTACTATACAGCTCATATCTGGCCAATTCCGGCTGGCCCCTGTGGGGACCAGACTCAATTCCGCAGAACCGCATATGGTGGGATGGTTAGGGGGTCTGGCCGGGTGTCCGCGGGTATAGGTGTGTCCGTCGGGAATACTCTGGTATTTTGCCGACGTTGAGCCGAAAATCGTACTATACAGCTCATATCTGGCCAATTCCGGCTGGCCCCTGTGGGGACCAGACTCAATTCCGCAGAACCGCATATGGTGGGATGGTTAGGGGGTCTGGCCGGGTGTCCGCGGGTATAGGTGTGTCCGTCGGGAATACTCTGGTATTTTGCCGACGTTGAGCCGAAAATCGTACTATACAGCTCATATCTGGCCAATTCCGGCTGGCCCCTGTGGGGACCAGACTCAATTCCGCAGAACCGCATATGGTGGGATGGTTAGGGGGTCTGGCCGGGTGTCCGCGGGTATAGGTGTGTCCGTCGGGAATACTCTGGTATTTTGCCGACGTTGAGCCGAAAATCGTACTATACAGCTCATATCTGGCCAATTCCGGCTGGCCCCTGTGGGGACCAGACTCAATTCCGCAGAACCGCATATGGTGGGATGGTTAGGGGGTCTGGCCGGGTGTCCGCGGGTATAGGTGTGTCCGTCGGGAATACTCTGGTATTTTGCCGACGTTGAGCCGAAAATCGTACTATACAGCTCATATCTGGCCAATTCCGGCTGGCCCCTGTGGGGACCAGACTCAATTCCGCAGAACCGCATATGGTGGGATGGTTAGGGGGTCTGGCCGGGTGTCCGCGGGTATAGGTGTGTCCGTCGGGAATACTCTGGTATTTTGCCGACGTTGAGCCGAAAATCGTACTATACAGCTCATATCTGGCCAAATTCCGGCTGGCCCCTGTGGGGACCAGACTCAATTCCGCAGAACCGCATATGGTGGGATGGTTAGGGGGTCTGGCCGGGTGTCCGCGGGTATAGGTGTGTCCGTCGGGAATACTCTGGTATTTTGCCGACGTTGAGCCGAAAATCGTACTATACAGCTCATATCTGGCCAATTCCGGCTGGCCCCTGTGGGGACCAGGCTCAATTCCGCAGAACCGCATATGGTGGGATGGTTAGGGGGTCTGGCCGGGTGTCCGCGGGTATAGGTGTGTCCGTCGGGAATACTCTGGTATTTTGCCGACGTTGAGCCGAAAATCGTACTATACAGCTCATATCTGGCCAATTCCGGCTGGCCCCTGTGGGGACCAGACTCAATTCCGCAGAACCGCATATGGTGGGATGGTTAGGGGGTCTGGCCGGGTGTCCGCGGGTATAGGTGTGTCCGTCGGGAATACTCTGGTATTTTGCCGACGTTGAGCCGAAAATCGTACTATACAGCTCATATCTGGCCAATTCCGGCTGGCCCCTGTGGGGACCAGACTCAATTCCGCAGAACCGCATATGGTGGGATGGTTAGGGGTCTGGCCGGGTGTCCGCGGGTATAGGTGTGTCCGTCGGGAATACTCTGGTATTTTGCCGACGTTGAGCCGAAAATCGTACTATACAGCTCATATCTGGCCAATTCCGGCTGGCCCCTGTGGGGACCAGACTCAATTCCGCAGAACCGCATATGGTGGGATGGTTAGGGGGTCTGGCCGGGTGTCCGCGGGTATAGGTGTGTCCGTCGGGAATACTCTGGTATTTTGCCGACGTGAGCCGAAAATCGTACTATACAGCTCATATCTGGCCAATTCCGGCTGGCCCCTGTGGGGACCAGACTCAATTCCGCAGAACCGCATATGGTGGGATGGTTAGGGGGTCTGGCCGGGTGTCCGCGGGTATAGGTGTGTCCGTCGGGAATACTCTGGTATTTTGCCGACGTTGAGCCGAAAATCGTACTATACAGCTCATATCTGGCCAATTCCGGCTGGCCCCTGTGGGGACCAGACTCAATTCCGCAGAACCGCATATGGTGGGATGGTTAGGGGGTCTGGCTGGGTGTCCGCGGGTATAGGTGTGTCCGTCGGGAATACTCTGGTATTTTGCCGACGATTGAGCCGAAAATCGTACTATACAGCTCATATCTGGCCAATTCCGGCTGGCCCCTGTGGGGACCAGACTCAATTCCGCAGAACCGCATATGGTGGGATGGTTAGGGGGTCTGGCCGGGTGTCCGCGGGTATAGGTGTGTCCGTCGGGAATACTCTGGTATTTTGCCGACGTTG